TGCTCCGCCGCGGAGCCGGGAGCAGGAGCCGCGGCGGGCACCGGCGCCCAGCGGCCGCGGGGCTTCCGATAGCAGGAGGCTCGTCCCTGGGATTAATTAGCAAAGGCTGCGGCCACAGAGCAATGTAAAACACGAGCCGTTTGCTGGGGCGTTGGTTACCGGGGCTGTCCCGCAGCGGTGCACATCTTGTAAGCATTAGCGTCACGTAAGAGGAGCCTGCACAGAAGGACGCGGGGTTTAGTGGGTTGTAAACTGCGTTGTTCCCGTTACAGTAACGACGCCGCTGGTGAAGAAATGTGCCTTTTGCACACGAGGCTCGGGAACCAGGTGTGCCGGGAAGAAACGTAGCAGGGTTTGGAGGCTCTGCTGTCACCACTGGGATAACAGAGAGAGAAACAAAGCAGGCGTGGGAGAAAGCAGGAGGAGGCACCAAGGAGATGTACCACCACCCCCAGGGTTGCTGTGCCTTTCAGCCCTTTGCATTTATCTACCCCCGACCCGGCTCGCTGGTGCTCAGCCCCCCTGCTCCCTGACACGGGGCTGCACACCCCGACTGCCTCCTGGGAAGTTCAGACCTGGGGTGCGAGGGGTGACAGGGAGGCAGCAAGTATCTGCCTGCCTCTCGGCTCTGTTTTGATGCCCTTCGCTCTGCCTTGCTCCAGCACTTGCACTGCCTCCCGCGGCACCTGGGAAGATGTGACACGTGGGGTTTGCTGCCCAGCACAGAACAAGGGCACTGCTGCCTGAGCGAGCAGCCCGAGCATCAAGAGCTTTCCCACTCTGCGGAAAAACCTCCCGTGTTTAATTTTACCTTAGCTAAGGAAGCAGCCTCCAAAAAAAGTGATGGTGGACCCAAATAATTAACCCATTTCCTTTTTTCCCACTACCAAAAATGCATCCATTCTCTGCAGGCAGCAAGTTGGCTGTTTTAAGTCTTTTTTCACCATTTCACATCCAAACCAGGACTGATTGTCCAAGACCAGCACCAGAGCTTATCAGCCATCGCCTTCCAGCTGCCCAGGTCAGGTGCCTGGTGGGAAACACAGGACATGTCATCCTCCCCGCCTGGTGACGAGTGACGGAGAGGAGCTGGGTGATGCCGGGATCTGAACCACATGGCATCAACGCGAGTGCACGTACCCGCTAACAGGAGCCAGGCACAGGTACCAGCCCGGCTCACCCCCCCCGGGCTCCCCTTCGCTCCCCTGCAGCTGGAGGGGCTGCTCCATCCCTGCCCACTGCTGCAGCGCCCGAGCACAGGACCCTGGCAGTCAGAAAGTATCTGCTTTCAAAGCTTTTCTTCTTTCTTCTTAATTAGGAGACCGGATGATTTTTTTTTTTTAAACAAAATATGTTGTTATTGTGGAAAATATCTGCTCTCCACAGAAAATGCCTTGCATTTGCTGTACACATTGTGGGCCATACCAGAAAACATCTGATGTGCTTCCAAATCCGCTGGGGCATTTCTTTTCCTATTAGAGTGGAAATTTTCTCCAGGAAACAAGTTTTACCTAGTTTGCACCGACATTTGCCGCAGCAGGAAGCAAGCGGCCCTGTCCCTATGCCACCCCTCCATCCCTGGGAGGTGGCGTCGTAGGGGCACCCTGGCATGACCAGGCACCCAAACCTGCAGCACGAACCCTGGCTTCGACCCAAGCTTTGACCCAAGTCCTGTGAGCCACCAAGCACCAACCGCCAGCACCCACCCGGGCTGGCCCAAGGGGGAACCACGGCTTCTCGGGGCAAGATGATATCTGTTTGGGAAACACAGAGGAAAATACATTATTTTAGTCCTATCAACAGCTCCCCGGTGCCATGCGGGAGCCGAGAGGAGCGCCGTGTGCCCACCACGCTCCCAGGGTTGCGCTGGCCCAAGGGCAGTTGCGGAGATGCCCTTTTCTGTCCCACCGTGTGAGGTGCCCGATACTGCGGCACTGCTCTTTGTCCCAGGACAGAAGAAAGGTCTGAAACTTACTGTGGAATAGCAAGACTTGACTATCAGATCTGGAAAAGTGACCTGATTTTATCACCGTATCTTCTGCCCGTATTGCTGGTGTTTCACAATGTGAAGTACCAGCAGTGCCCAAGACAAACACCTAATGTATTTAACATTAGCCAGTACGGCTGTACAGCATCAACACTAATTGAAAGTTTACAAAGCTAAGTCAAAACCAAACACTGGCATTTCAATTTAGTATTTTCCATGATTGTTCTATAGAAATGAAAAAAAAAAAAAAAAACCAAACCAAAAATGAAAAAAAAACCAAAAAACTGCAAAATTTCACCCATATCTTTAAAATTCTTCTGTGATTAGCGCAGATGTCAGGAAGGTGATTACAGCAACTCTACCCATCGGTTTTCCTGCTGTGTCCGTAGCACAAGGTAGGAAGCACCCGGGCACGACTGTTAGGGTCCCTCCACAACCGCTCCGGCTGGGACTGATTCTGACAGCCCGGGACTTAAACTCTGCCCGGCTCCGGAGGAGCTGCACCCTTCCCAGTTGGGGACTATTCCTTAACACTGTTCCCCCCAGCAAAGCCTCCGGGGACAGTAAAGAAAATTGCCTGTGCCTTCCCACCTGCAACACGCCTTGTTTACTAACCGCTCCTCATCAAGTGTTTATAGGGTCAGAACCACGGCGGCTCGCCTCACATGCCGGAGAGCCCAGGGGCTCGCTAGGCAAGGGCTGGCTGCGCCGGGCGACGAGCCCAGTGAAGACGCTGTGGTGCCGTGCGGCGCAGCCAGCCAGGCCACAGCCATATTCTGAATTTATTTCTTTTTTTTTTCCAGGCAGTCTTCTGAGAAAACATCTGCTGTGCCCCAAGCCCGCACCGGAGCCGAAGATCAAAATAAAGGACTTTTGTCTTTTTATTAAGCATTTTAGCAAACGTGACTATTACATTCATATTATATTTCCCTGTTTTGTACAAACACGTTTAAGTCAGCACTAAGAGGATTACGTTTATGGTGCACCAATCTCTGCTCAAATGGGCTGACTAAAGAAACTCTTGTTAAACAGTATTTTCTCTAATGCCTGTTGCTTTTTTTCCTTGCCTTAGTGCTCAGACATCTATCCAGGCTTCCTAAATCCACCCTCCTCATAAGCTTTCAGATCAAGACTCTTCCCCGCCTCCACTCCCCTCCGCACCCTTTAATACAGCTGAAGATGAACATTAGCGCTTGGTTCAACTGCACTGGAAAGGGAAAGGGCAGATTCATCAAAATCTTTATACCTCCATAGAAAAATGTAGCCTTTTGCCTTTCCTCGAGTGAATGCCTTTTCTAGAGGGTATTCATTGGGGTTCGGTCTGTTTTTGCAGACAGCTCCACAGATGTTGACATTTTTTTTCTTCGCTGGGTTAAGACGCCTTCTATAGGCTTTCAGTCTTCATTTGTTACTTCTTTATTATCCAAGAGGGGTTTTTCTTTCTTTTTTTTTCTCTTCTTTTTTTTTTTTTTCTTTCCTCCGAAGGAGTTGACTCGGTTCTCTGAAGAGAGCAGTGGTAGTCAGGCTCATTATTATCTCCGACCCTTTTTCATCGCCCCGGCAGGCCGGCCGGGGCCGCGGGGCCATTGTGGTGGAGCAGCAGGTAGCTGTGGCACGGCGGGGTCAGCGCTCCGGCCGGCGCAGTGCCTTTGTGCGCCCGCCTCGTGCTGCTGGCTCTGTTTGTCCAGCGGTGGGAAAGGTCAGGGGCATGCCGCCGCTCCATACCTGAGCTTTTGTCTCCGGCCTCTGCCAAGAGCTTATGGAAATAATTTGTTGGAAAGCAATCGCTGGACCTTGGGGGGGGAAGCAGAGTGAAGGGGTGGAGGTGTGCCAGCAGCGATGGGGGTGCTACCGGAGCTGCCTGGTCCATCAGACGTGCTGCTTCTTGGCTAGAGCTGTTGCATGCTGCCAGTGTCCACCCTCTGCATGCCACTCGGGAAGCCACGGGCTTGCCATGGTCCACAAGGCTCAGTATCATCACCTTTACACATCGAGATAGCCGGTTTCCCATGGCGAACTTTGCAAAGAGAGCAATTTGGCTTGGTGTGGAGGCTTAAAGCATGATGCAGGCAGCACCCCGTGCTGATGTCCCCATCTCCGAGACCAAATGCACCTCACTTCGCCCAGGACCCTTGCCTGCAGACATACACCAGCCAAATACTCCATTCCAGTGCCAGCAGGTGTCCAAATACCTCTACCCCAGCTCCCAAAGAAAATTTACTGTGTATCTAGAGATTTTTCCCAAAAAAAGATTGCTGGGACAGACACAGGGACTGGCAAAGGCATCATAATTCAAGCGGTGCTTCAGGACCTGCCGTAACAGAAATTGGAGGTGAGGGCTCCAGCCTATTCACAGCTGGGCTCACTGTGTCACCTCACCACTGCAGGCCATGCATTATCTCAGGGAAAAGGAAAGCCCTCCTGCTCCTCCCGGGAGCCCTCCTGGCCCGTTCCCACACTGCCCGGAGTCACCAGCCCCGCAGCCAGCACCGGGCTCCCCAGCCGTGCTCCCAGCGTGAGCCGGCGGCGGGGCCGGGTGGAGGTGACAGGTATCTTTATCCCGCCACCCAGGAGAGCTCCAACGTCCCGCTGGCAGGAATTTGTCTGCAAATTTTCCCCCATTGAAAGGAGCGAGGGGGCCGATATGATCGCTTGATTACAGCTGGGGCAGGTGAAGTGGAAAGACGGGGCAGCTCCCGGGGAGCTGTGCTCCCAGCCCTTAACCTCTCCTCCCCGGCCTGATGATTTAATGCCTTCGCGGGGGCACGTCGGCTCCAGCCATGGGGCAGCGGGTGGGCATTAAGGGTGACGTGATCCCAATTAGCGCTCACCATCTAAATAACGCTGGCTGTGGATGGGAAGGAAGGTGCCTGGCCAGCAGGCACAGCACCCTCACGCCTTCGCAGCACTGCAGGGTTGTGCTGCTGCCGGGTGCCCACACCGGGTGCCTAAGTGCTCCCCAGCTGCCCTCGCCCAGCCAAAGGAGGAGCAGGGGGGTCCCCCCCCCCCCAGCTGCAGCCCCATGTCCCAGCCTGGGACACTGAGCTCACCGGCTGGAGTCCGGATGGGAATATCAATGGGGACACCGAAAATCATCACATTCAGCCCCCATCAGTATGCTAAAAGCTCCTGCCATTTTCTCTTCTTATCCCGGCTGTAGCAGGAGAGCTCCCATTAGCTCTGCACGTCACCCTTGGGGAAGTAGTGCTGATAGATGCGTGAGATCAGGCAGGTGGATTTTCTTTTCATCACTTATGCTGGAGAAGCCTTCCACTGCTAAAAGCAAGAGGAGAATGAGCCAGCTCTTGCAGCCTGATAGCGATACACCCAGAGGGCCACGGCTGGATTTCACGCGCCTTGCTCTGCGGTGGTGCCTGGGGGACTGGCTGGCCCTAGTGGGCAAGGCAGGATCTGGCCCAGAACAGCACTGACTCAGAAGCGCTTTCCTTGGGGCTGGACTCCTCATCTCCCCCTGCACAGGGATGAGTCCTCTCCTGGCGCAGCATTTCACCCTGGCAACCCCCCAGCCACAACCACAGGGAGAAAGCAGCTTTTCTGTAAAAGCGGAGTGCTGGCATCCCTTGCTGTGCCTGCTCTCTCTCACCCCCATGTGTTTGTGTCAGCCGTTGTCCGCCCCCCCCCCCCCCCCCCCCAGGACCCCGCAGTCTCAAGCTTGGTGGTGCTGGACGGCTGACACTCACACGCACTGACCGGCACCAGGGATGCGAAGGAGCCCCGGGCGCGGGATCCGCAGCAGCCTTTGCATGAACATTGCGAGTGCTGAGTTTATAACCCAGAAAATCTGGGCTCTGAAGGGCTCTATCTGGCTGGGCAGGAGGCGTGCCGCCCTGCCCAGAGCTACTTTTATGCCATTGTGCCTTTTCAGCATTGCATTAAGGCAGCCAAAGAAGGGGGATTTTTAATGGTTCCAGGGGAACAAAGCCGGGACATTCGGCCCAACTTCATTACAGAATCATCTGAAACGCTTGAGGAACGTTTCCCACTAATTATCATAAATAGCCGAAAAAAATCTTTCCCTCCCAAAGCAGGTTCCAGCTGCCCCTCTGTGTTTTCTCACCTCCACTTCCAATAGCCTGACCCTGCCCCCGCACAAAGGCGAGACCCCATCTCCGCTCCCCCAACGCTCGGGGGGCTCTAAAGAAATACAAACAGGCAGCAGATTAACAGCACTTGTTTGCACCTTAAACAAACAGGCGACTTCCGCCCCTCCGGGCTCTCCCACTGCCCAAGGGAGGATGCGCCGGCTTGTTTTCCTTGCCCTTGCTCTCCTGCCCTGCCCAAATCCTGGATAAAAGCATGGGCAGCGCAAGGCGTGAAGCAGGCGGACCAAGGATGGGAACGACGGGGGTGCCAGCCCCGCACCCCCTTGAGCCCCGGGGACGTGTCTGCAGCCCTTTTGCAGGAGGGTTGGGAGATGCCGAGGCCAAAGCAGACGAATGAATGTCCCAGTTCAGCTCCTGCCCCCTGCGTCTCACACAGCTTCTTGGCAAGGAGCAGCCTGACGTGGCTGGACGGGTGCCGTGAGTGGGTGTGGGGAGGGATGCTGCGGGTGAAGGATGGGGAGGGAGAGACAGACCATCCAGAGGGACGCACGGAGGAGTGGTGCTGGTGTTCAAAACGATCACCAGCATTGAGGGGGCACAGCAGCAACACCGACAATGACTGCCAGCCCACGGTCTTCTCTGCTGAGTGCAATAGGGGATGGATGGCTGCCGGACATGCCTGCCCGGCCAAGTCCTTAGGCTGATCCCAGTAGCCACGGATGCCTCTGCAAGGGAGCTGCCCCAGCTTGAGTCCTGACCCTACAGGTGCCATGTCGCCCACCCCACCTCTCCAGGTGGCACTGCCAGCACCTCCCTGCTCCTACGGGACCTGGTGCCAAACCAGTCCCTTCTCGCCCTGCCCGCAGCACATGGAGCAGCCAGCCCTGAGGCCCCCACCCCACCGGGTCAGGCAGTCACGAGAGACATGGGGGCTCTAACCACACCAGCAGCCGGCAAGACGCCGCTCCTGGCACAGCTACGGCATGTGTTTGGGGCCGGCACGTGAGGGGGGCACCCGGGGAGGAAGCTGCGGCAGCACAGTCACAGGCTGGGGCAGCTTCCCAGCAGCAAGCCAGCAGCAGGACTTGCCCGCTGGAGGCTCAGGTTTGCTCCCCGCCCAGGTTATTCTGCAAATCCCCCCCTGCAGGTGTTTGTTGCCCCCCTTCCCGCCAGCCACAAGAAAGGGCTGTCGCTCGCGAGCCCCCTTCCTGCCCATGGGGTGCCCCAGGGGCAAGAAGGGGACCGGAGGCAGGTGGCAGGGACAGGCCACCGCACACACAGCATGGGGGACTCCCGGCGGGGCTGACGGGCAGAGGGGTTACAAGTCGGTACTGCAGCACGAGTGACAGGGCTGTGGGAACCACATCTCATCTGCACGGCGTAGGATGAGACTAGCGGCTGTGGGACTCCCAGGCCACGCTGGAGACCCCCCCGGTCCCAGCACCACTCAAAGACACACACGCACGGTGTCCTGTTTCTGCTTCTAACTGGCTGTCACCTGAGGCTAACTACGAGGACCTCAGGCAGTCATGGGAACTGGGAAGAGGTTTACAGGGTCACAAGCAGCCTGGAGATGCCACACAGCGATGCTCACTTTTTTTTTTTCCCCCCAATGCAAGAACCAGGGGCATCCCATGCAAGGAGAGGCGAGCAGGGGGAGAGCAAAGGGAGATGCTGCCTTGTTCAGTGCATGGGCAGTCCTGGGCACTCCTTGCCACAGGGCGCTGCAGATGCTAAAATCTTACGTGAGTTCAGAGAAACCAGAGAAATTCACAGATTAAAAAATCATCAAGCGCTACTCAGTGCAATGGCTGTCCTGCAAAGGGACGCCGGGGCTGCCCGCAGAGGAGCGGGGAGGGTGTGCTGGGGGCTGTGCACTCCCTGGGCACCTGCCCTGGCCACGTACCTCCCCACTGGGAGGAAGGCCTCTCCTTGACATCGCAGCGAGGCGCAGCTCCGAAGCAGCAAACCTGTACGCTGGTCTCCCCGGTGCAGCTCCCCCATCCATCCTCGCGTGCTCTCTGGCTGCTCTTGCTCAGCGATCAGGAAACCCAAGCACGTTCCCCCACAGGCTGCCCGGGCATGTCACCCCCAGGACACCCTGCATCCCACCCACCTCTCAGCCCCTTCCCTCCGGGGGGACACCAGAGCGAGCAGGGGCAAACGGGAACGGCTGCTAATTCCTCCCAGCCCAGCACAGCCGTAGCCCTCCAGGGATCAGCCTCACAGCGATGGAGGGAGCCAACTCCTTCCTGCCTGCAAGCCAGCTGCATCAGCCTGGCCCCGGGAACACGGGCGGCTGTATTTTCATTGCAAATTAGAAATCAATCATAGCAGGAAATTCCCATGCTGAGAACACCCTGGCTATTATTATTTTACAGTGCTCAGAGGTGTTCTGGGCACTTAGAAAGACGTGGCCCTTTCAGGGTATTATGGGGCAAATTAGTTTTAAAGGCGGTTGTAGGAATGTTGGCCATTTGGTTTCCGGAGCAGGATGGGCACAGGTGGAGGCTGTGGGGCTTTGTGCTGCTTTTGGATACACCACCACTCTGCAAAGAGGGAATCAGCACGCTCCGGAGTGAACACCTCTAGCCTGACCCCAGCTTTATTAATAACAAGTAATTAATATGAGAGCGGATGTGCCTTGTGTCTCTGAAGACCTTTTAAGATGTGATTATGTTGTGCTAATCTCACCCCAAAGTACTTCCCTGTTTAGACTGCGCTGGGCCATTAAATATCTGAAAAGCCAGTGAAGACCCCCCCCTCGCCGCCCCGGGAAGTGCTCGGGGTCTGTTCCCCAGCAGCCAGGCCCCACTTTCAAACCCTCTAAATCAAGTATTAAGTCAAGCCCATCTGGACTGCCAGGAAAAACACTCCTTTCCCCTCATCTGCGTCTCATTACCCACCGTGCCAGCCCCAGCCCCGGAGCCGCTCACTCCATCCCGCCCAGATGTGCTGCCCCGCACTCGCCTCCCGTATTTCACAGCCGTCAGCAGGACTTCAAGGAGCAGCCGAAGGGCCTGTAACACTGCACAGGCTCTTAGTAAAGACATATATCCAGGTCCCTAAGGCAGAGCCGCAGGCACATGCCCTAACGCGAAGCCCCTTTCCCCCTCCCTTGGTCTTGCACCAGGCAGGGGAGCTGGGGCCCTTGGGGCTCCCTGGCCAGGAGGTTTCTGAGCCACTTCCCAGCTGCTCTTTGTCCAGCACGTGTCCAGACTACTGATTTTCAGGGGCTCTGCCCCTCGAGACCTCCCAAAGCCAAGCAGCCGCTACGCCCTGCACCTGGGGAAGGGCACCCAAAGGCAGGGCAGGGCAGAGCAGGCACTGGCAGCAAAGGCGAGGAGTTGAAGACAGACACCTGCAACTCTGTAGTAACCGGGGTGATTAAATTTGGGAGCAGCTCACCTGGCACAGGGCAAAGTCAGCACTGAGCCTAGAGAAAATAAGGCACCCAAACACCCAAACCAAGTAACAACCCCTGTGTTCATTGGCTCAAAAATCTCCTGGGCTAATGCTTTCTAGTGAAAGTTTCAGCACTTCCAGAAAACCTGCGGAAACAGCCGCTTTTGTTTAAGTTTGGCACTTTCCTGGCCCTGGCAGCAGCCCAGGACTGCAGAGGTGAAGGCGCACATCAAACCTGCATTTACGAGGAGAGTTATCCCTCTCCTCCCGAGCTTAAGAAGAGCTGGTGCTCAGCCTGCAGTCGGGGCTCAGCGTCAGGTGAAGTTATGGTATGAGCACCACGTGGCCAGCCGTGCTCAAACATTAGTCTTCCAGAGAGGCCAGGGCAGGCAGCATCGCAAAGAGGTTTTTGGGGGCACGAGGTTTAAGAGGGGGAAGAAAAGCATGTCTGTTGTCTCCCTGTGTTGCTGCCTGCAGGAGGGTGTGCAACCCTGGTCCTACGCCGGTCCCTGATGGCCGGCACTGACTGGGGACCCCACGCTCCAGCAAGCAACAGGAATCCCCCGCAGCAGGTCCCTGCCAGAAAAGCCCTGGGATGAAAATACTCCTGTTGCCAGCCCTTCAGTGCACGGCAGAGATGCAGGGGAGGCTTTAATATCAGTGAGGAGGAAAGGGAGAAAGAGAGGGGAAGAGGTCAGAGTATTATGACGGACGTACGGGCACTGACATATCCCGTAACAGGGAAGAAGCCACGGCGCAGGGCAGGAAGCCTTGGGAAGTCCTTCCCCAAGGGCTGCTTGCACCCTGCAGGTACCTGCCAGGGATGAGGAGGAGATGCAGGCAGGAGCCCCGACCAGACCTTGCAAGCAACAGCGGACCGTGCCCGAGGTCCAGCGAGGTCCCCAACCGGCCGGGTGCGGGGTCTCCGGCATTTCGGTGTGGTGCCTCCGGTGACCCTGGGCAGGCGGTGGCAGCCACTGCCTGTGTCGGGATGCCATCTAGTGTCGCTTGGTAGAAGGGCCCGCAGACAGTGACGCCGTGCACAGGCTCCCCAGGCTTGCAGCATCTCTAGGGACCAGCTGGAAGGCACCCCAAAACAGCCTGGGTGCTGGAACCGCAAAGAGGTTTTTGGGGGCCCCCACCGCCCCTGGGGGACTGCACCCCACCGATGCTGGTCCGCACCCCATGACATAGGCACCCCGTCGCCAGCACAGCTCCAGACCCCAAAGGAGGGCGATGGGCATTGCCAAAATCGTGCAGGGGCAGCAAAGCTCAAAGCGATGCCCAAGCTTGCTCGGGGGACCCCGGGGCAGCCAGGGCTCGGAGACTCAGCAGCCTCACCGGCAGCATGGGCTGGCCCTGGTGGCAGGTGGCTTGGTGAAGGAGAAGGGCGAGCATCCCCCATAGCAGCATGCAGCCCGCC